ACTGGAGTGAGTTTGTATTACCTTGACGATACAATACCAGGTCGCTGTAGTTTAACTTCCATCTACATAGAGCGGGAAAATATTTCCACGATTTTGGTTGCTGAGAAAATTGAGAAGATTTGACGAGAAAAATGAATCAGTCATTATTAGTGAAGAAGACGAAGAAGAAAGGGAGGTGACGTGGCACTAGGAGGGATCTTTATCCTTAAAGACCAGAAAGGAAAATAAACTTCGTGAATGTCCAATGAAATAACGCCACGAAAGGTCTTTCTCTGCAAGTCCCCGTAGCATTATCGTTTCCCAGCATTTCGGAATATAGGTGTAACATTTATAATAAGATTTAAGATGATGAAATTGAGAAAAACATATCATTTTTCTTTCACAAAAGCAGAGCTACAAGTAACAATCACACTTTCATTTTTCAATTTAGAAAAAAAAAAAAAAGATTAATACAAGACAAAAGCAAAGATCACTAATTACAGAAATGACAACAATTGTATACAATAATGTAACACACATTTAGTTAAGAGTTTTGATTTGATTAGTGCTTTTTGAGAGCAACGCCGGAGAGAACGATGAGGATGGTGAAGAAGACGACGGAGATAAAGGAGGAGACAACAGCTCCGCTTGTTTTCTGACAAAAGTCTCCAAACTGTTGGCAAATGGGAAGCCAGTTCGTGTTCTGGTTTCCACTGTGTGCAAGATACGATATCGCCGCCGCCGATGATGCAGCCGCCACGTTCAAAACCAGAACCGCCTGATTTAGCATAAACAATTTATATAACCAACTTTTAAATCTTCATATACTATATAAAGTTCAAGAGTTTGAGATATATTTACAGTGTCAAGAACAAGCAAGAGGAGTCTTGGGGCGGTGGCGAGAGGGCGGACGATGGTGACGACGGAGAAAGGAAGAGACAAGACGAGATATCCAGCAACCAAGGACATGGCAATCACAAAGAACCTGTAAAAAGTAATGACCTAATTAGGTGACGTGTGGCACAAGGAAACGATTTGATTTGATTAATTCAGCTACAAGTCGTAACTGGAAAGTTGGTAGATCGTCGTAGCCAGCTTCGAACTGTAAGAACTGTGTGAAGAATGGAAGAGTCTCGTCGCTTGTAAACATTGTTGCGGCGGCGACTGCTGCTGCAATGATGGCAGCTAAACGGAGGAGGAAGTCGAAGATTGTGAGACCTCTCTTGTATCCACCTGAGCCACCACTAGTAGCCAAACCTATAAGAGGAGCTTTGCCTTTCATGGCTGAGCTAGATTCTCCATGGACATCAATGGTGGTAGATTCGTTCTTCATAATCTCTTGATTAATGTTTCTTTGAGGCTAATCTTCGTGTTGTTGCTTTGCAAGGGGAATCAAAGAAAGTTTGATGTTTTGGTGGTGAAAGAGAGTGAAAGGATTGGAGGTTTTATAAGGAAGTTTAGGGTTTTGGTGGAATCAATGGAGCAGAAGAAGTGGGATAGTTGTTTGCTTTTTACTCTCTCCACACTAATTAATCAAAGAAATGTGGAGTTGGCAAACATTAGAATGCAATAATAGAAGTCAAAGTTAGTAGATTTAACTATATATATAATAGTGCCAATCTTCCATAATTAAAAACTTTCATTTGGATTTCGTAGGCACTGAAAAGCTTTTGGCTATAACTATATTTACTATATCATATGATTCATTATCCAACACATGAAAACAAGCAACCTAAAAAGCCTTAAACCCTACACAACAACTTGATCTCTCGAATGAGAAGAAAAACTCCAAATCCACTTCCACCTAATGACTTCCCAAGAATCATGTAAAGCTAAACTAAGCATAGAAAGAGGCAGGACAAAAAAAAAGGGGTTTTACTATTCTTCTTACTACACAAACAGTAATCTAAGAGTCTAGTTCCTATAGTCTTTGGAAGTAAAAAAGGGAGGAAGATCTCATGGACTCTTTTCTTTCACATCTTCCCCCCATATGGATCCAGAATCTGCAAAGACATTTGAGCTTTCTCAACTTCTATTTTCCTGCATTTCGCAGCAGCTTGAATAGCCGGTATCTCTGGTATTCCTGTTTTTGACTTTAACTAGTGGAGTTCATCTTCTTTGTGAGCTGCGAAGATTGAGTTGGTAAAGAGGAAGGTACAGGAGCAGAACCATTGGCCTTGAGAGACGGAGTGGCTTCTCCAGTAACGTTGAGTCTTGATGGTCCCAAGTCTTTAGAGATTAAGGGATCTTCTTGGACCTCTTTTTGCAGCATTTCCAATCGCCTCAAGGACGGCACTTCACCTTTGCAGTACTTTCTCCACATATTCCGGTACGCGGATTCAAGAGCAACAGCAAAGGAAGGACCGTTACATACAGGAGATCCAGCCATTAGATCTCGGAGACTCATTCTCAATTTGGAAAGAGCTGTGACATCAGAGGCTAGATTAACAGATAACTGAACATACTCATCCTCATTTTTGGCAACCAGGTCTCCTAATCCTGAATCAAGACATGGTTACATAAGCTAAAAGATATTCCGCGTATAATAAATTTTGGCAAGAAACCAAACTTTACTAAGGGCTTACCAACTTTACTGAGAAGACTGACACCAACATTATGAGCATGTACTGAACCAGCCATTGTAACACATGGAACTCCCATGTAGAGAGATTCACAGGTAGTGGTAGTTCCAGCATATGGGAATGTGTCCAAACTGCATGAAATGTAACATTTTCATCTGTAAATCTATTAGCCTCGGCATTTTCAGTAGCACATGTCAAATCTTACCTTATATCCATTAAGGAATAAGCTTGCATATGGTCGTGGTTGAAAAGAATCAGTGGCAAGAGATCAACGCGCTTTGATTCTAACCCAAGCTCCTCCAGCGTCGTGAGAAACCTCTGCCTAATGCTATCACAGCAGAAAGGTTTGCATTTTACAACCAGACGAGAATTGGGAACTGCACACAGTATCCTAGCCCACACTTGCAGCACCTTAGGTGTGATCTGATGGCAGAAACATAGAAATAAAAAATTAAAAGATATACTAAGGGAGGTTGGTTAGTGTGTATGATCCAAAGACAAGTATATCTAACCTTTGCAAGATTATTGAAACTACCAAATGTGACAAAGCCATTGGAAATGGCGGGTGTTGGACAAACAGGACCAGCCTCTGGGGAAGGTGTATAACAGAGAAAACACTCTGGAAGCCTGACCAGCTCCTCAACCTGTCTGCAATCATATACACACAATTATTGTTTACTCTGAAACCCAAAAAATCATTCTGTTATGAGCCAGAACTTACTTCTGTTTAGTATCTGGGGGATCAGCCAAGGAGTCTGTAATTCTGTAATCAACAGTGGGTAAACCCGTAGTATTTGGATAGCCGATCCAAGTAACCTGATATTCCAACCAATAAAAGTAAACTTGAAACGGAAAGTCAAAAATAAAATCTGAAACAACAACATGAGATAGTTTTATCTACCCTCTCACCTGAACAGGTGCTGGTCTGCAGGCCATTGTTCCCAACTTGTTGTTTGCCGTATGACCAGTGAGTTCTACCAAAATATCGATATTGTCTTCTCGTACCATACTTGCTATCTTTTTCTCATCTATTCCGTATATATCTTTCCAAACTCCACCTTTCTTTAACACTTTATCCCTAAACCTGTATGTTTTTGCATCTGCCTGCAAAGCCATGAGAGAGCAAGAATTGCTCAAAGGGGGGATAATGCCACGAGAAACAAGAAAATGAATTGTTTTGATGAAAAAAGTATTTATACAAGGAGAAAAAATTTCGGGGAAATTCATACCTTAACCACCGCTGAATAAACCACCACTTTGTACTTTGTATAATCATGATGCGTGAGGGGTGCTTCAATGAAATAAGATACTGAATGAGTGAAGAAATCTGGTGAGATATATCCAATGGTGATAGGTCGCTCTGGATCTTTCAGATTGTCCCATGAAGTGTACTGTGGGTGTAATCTTGTGAAGCGCCAACCCCAGTCTCTGTGTTAATAAGATTTTTTCACTGTAAGTTCCATAAAATCAACAGAACACAAATCCAAGTTGATTATATATGTGCATACCTGTGAGCCTCAAATAGTTTGTCATCTAGTCCTTCATTTATGTAGTTCATGGCAAGCAATCGGTTCTACATGAAGGACAGGAAGATTTAAACACACAATTTCAACCTTATATCAAGAAGAGCACGTTAAAGTACAGATACCTGGCCAGCATTGCGAGAATCTGGATCTATCTTGAGGCATTCCTCATAAGCATCAATAGCCATAGTTATATTTCCAGCATCTCTGTAAAGAACACCTGCATTGGAATCACATTTAAAACTGATTGTAACAGAAACTAAACGATATTTAGCACCATGAAGGTAGGAAAAAACAAAATTTCAAAGCAGTGGTCTCACGTAAGGAAGCTCGTAAAGACATAAGAGGAGAAATCAAACCTAAGTTGTTAAAAGCTTCTGCATACGTGGGATTTGCTTGGATGGCCTTCTCGATCATGTTGGCAGCAGCATCCATTTTCCCCTGTAATATCAGAGAAATTGGCATTCTATTGACTCTAGCGATTCAATTAAGAATACATTGAGCTGCTATATCAAACCTGGACTGTGTAGACGACGCCAAGGTTATTCAGCGACTGTGCAAAGTTTGGTTTGATCGAAAGAGCCATCTACATATGTTGAGAGATAATATAAGCTAAATCACAATGAAATTTTTCTGAAACAAAACGCTGGAGATATCCGCAAAAATAATACCTGATAACACTCCACAGCTTTGTCTAGGTTGTCACGGTCTTTGTAAAGTACTCCCAAATTGTTGCAAGCCTCAGCACAATGTGGATTGAAGTGGAAAGCAAGCTCATAGAATACAATAGCCTGCACATAGAGAAAGCAATCATAACCACATATATTTCATTCTTTGGCTCTACATTTCTCATTCTAATATATATACATACATTATATTAATTACCAGAACATGGAGAGAAGGATGCAAATATAGAGTAGATAAAGTTAATAAGATA